ATTATCATCAACATTATCGTCATCATATCGATCAGTAATCGTAATTTGTTGATCGTTTCCCTCTTAATACATCGTGTATAGTAAGTTTACAAAAATCTGCAATCGTTATTTGTTTTTTATCGATTTCAGTTTTTTTTGTTTTTTCTTTTTTTTCCATTTTTTTCTTCTTTTTTCTTTTTTTTTTTTTTTCTTTTTTTCTTTTTTTTTTGCTTTCTTCCATTTATATCCCCTTAACACATTACGGTTTATTTTGTACTATAAGTCGCGGCCGCTCGAACGTTTACTCGTTCATGAGGGTCGCACGCCACCGAAATCGAAGCCCCGCTGCGCGACAATGTGAGCCCCTTACATACAAGTTTTACAATTATTGTAATCGTAATAATCGATTAATTCAGAATCTTGTCGCAAAGAAAGAAAAAAAAAAAAATGATGAAGGTTCGTTCCTTACGGTCCTTATTAATGTTACTTTTTTTTTTTTTATGCTTTTTCCTCACGTTTAAATATGCTTAATGCGTGCGTGATACATGTACTATGCAATCATTATCAACTATGGTATAATATTACTGTTTTTTTTCTTTTTTTTTTTTTATGCTTTTTCCTCACGTTTAAATATGCTTAATGCGCGCGTGATACATGTACTATGCAATCATTATCAACTATGGTATAATATTACTGTTTTTTTTCTTTTTTTTTTTTTTTTTTAAATATATATACTATACGACGATCAAACGGTATAGTATAAGTTTTGCCAAGTTGCACGCATGCGCGCGCAGTGCGCATGTGCAGCGATAACATCGATTCTTATCCTTCCTTAGCTTTTTTCCCTCGCGAGCATGCAACAATCTCAGCCGATTCTTACTTTTTTCTCTTTTTCTTCTTCCCTTTCAGATTCTTTCTTTTATTTTTACTCTCCCCCCCCCCTTCCTTCCTCTCCCTATCCCATCGATGCTTTGCCTGCCCGCCCACGCGAGTTCAAGTAACCAAACAGTTAGTAGTTACTCGAAGAATTTACCGTATTTTTCTCATTTTTAATTTTCTTACGTTTTTCAAATCGTGGAAAGCCCGTTTACACCGCGCGTCTCGAACATTATCGACTCGAAACAATGTGTCTAACGATCGATTTTAACCTTTTTTTTTTTTTTTTTTTTTTTACCGATTTCTTACCGATCTCTCCTCTTAACGATCCCCGCCGATTTTTCTCAAATTTCGACTCGTAGTTCGAATTCCTTCCTCGACAATTTAATCCCTCTCCCCTATCTTTTCGTTCGTTTTAAACGAAAAAAAAAAAAAAGAAAAAAAAAATCAATGGACCCGCGGTGTAAAGCTCGCCCTGCCAAGCTGTGTCACACACGATATCCATCAAAGGATTTTCAATCCGTAAAAACACATATTATAGAAACAACATGCAACATTTTATCCTACGCCGTGATACAATAATGGTACATACGCGCGCGTACGCTTACCGCGTGACTTTTTAACGTGGATATATACGCACGCATTGGCGCGTACGCGCGAATACCGCGCCTTTCCTATATGCGTGTGCCTATGCGTACTCGTGCTTGGTACATACCTATGTGTTTTCGTGTACATGTGTATTGGATGCGTGTACGTGTATTATGCATAATTTATTCTTTTCTTTTATTCGCACAGGGATACGATCAGGCAACGTGAAAGTTAACGTGGGAAAAAAAAAAAAAAAAAGGACATTGAAAATTTACCTTTGCTTAGCGCGGATCGATTTCGTGTACAAATACGATACAAATACGATAGTACGAAGACGATAAACGAAGTCAATTTCGGGATACGTGAATTTCTTCTTTTTTTTTTTTTTTGTTTTTTTTTCTCTCTCTTTCTCTCTTTCTCTCTTCGAGATCGTGAATCTTTTTTTTTTTTTTTTCTTTTCACACGAAAACAAATCGTACCGGAAAGGCTTTTTTTAATTTTTTTTTTTCGAAAACGACCGAGTACGAAAAATTTAACAAAAAAGAAGAAACAACTTGAAAGCGTGCGATTGTCGCGAAGGAACAAAGAACATTTAAGGATATCGAAGATAATTTTTTTTTTTTTTACAAACGATTCGTTTTTATTCTCGTATCGCGAAACGCGAACGCGAATCCATCTTGATTTCAGATCCAATGATCTTTTGTTCTTTCCTTTTCTTTTTTTTTTTTTTTATCCCCTGTCCGAACACGATCGATTGCTCGTCAGTTGATCCATTAACTTATTCTCATACATATGCACATATATATATATATTTTTATATATAGTATATATACAGTTTATACGCGTGTTTTACGTATGCAAAAATTCGTAACAGCTAACGACGAAGCAACTAAAAAAAGAACGCGATCTCTTTAGCTCCAACCCTCTTAAATATTCACAATTGTGAAAAATTATTCTAAACAACGCTCGAAAATTTTCAAAAGTGCCCGTTTTGAACGTCACTTTCAAAAATTATTTAAAAAAAAAAAAAAAAAAAGAAAGAAAAAAAAGGAGAGAACGAGAAATATAATAAAGAAAACGAATAAGCGAAAAAAAAAAAGAAAGTAAAAATAAAAAGAAACGCTTAAGAAAAAAAAAGATGTAAACTTAACGCTAAAGTTTTGAACGATTTTAACATTATTTTCGATTTCTCGTTCCGTTCGTTTCTGCTTGGCAGAAAAAGAAAAAAAAGAGCAACATGCATAAATCTTTCAACTTAATTTAAAAAGAAAGTACGGTAAGAAAAAAAGGGAAACGAGTAATAAAGAAATTTAAAAAAAAAAAAAAAAAAAAAAAAATTTAACGAAGTACGTACGTGTACCAATTATTTACATTTCGTGAACGTATATGCAAATCGACCATTTTGCAGACGTATCCCGTGTACATATATGTGTATTTATATGTACTTGTATGTAGGTGTGTGTGTGCGCGCGTGTGTGTATGTTCCTATCATCACATACGTAAACGACACATAACACTTTTTTTTTTTTTTTAATAATCCCCTTCCCGGAGCGTCTTCATATTTATCTTTTTTTTTTTTTTTTTTTTTTTCTTCAATAAATCCTCTCGTCCATCCTCTACGACTAATTTTTACGTTGTCTAAAGTGTTTTCGCAGCCCCATCCTCTCGAGAAATTCACCCGTTTCAGCCCCAAAAGAAGATCGGTATCACCCTCATCAACGCCCTGAATCTGAATATCTTTCGCCGCATTTTTCCCCGCCAATTTTCCATTCTTGAAAAACGTCCCGATATAATATATATATATATATATAGCATTGTTTCTTCTCTTTCCAGACATTTTTTTGCTTTTTCTCTCCGCCTCGTTTCGTTCGCAAATCAAAGCGTCAGCTTTCGAGTTTTAATCTTTAAATTTATCATCGTCCATTTTTTTGTCATCTCCAAAGTAAACAATCCTTTCACACGATAGGATAGGAAAACGCCCCCTATCGAAATTCGTCGACGAAGCGAGAGCACTCGTGCACTCGACGATAATACATTTCTTTCCCTCGATCTTTCTTCCACCTTTTTTCCCATTTCAATCCCCTGCCTCCTCCCCCTCCCCCTTTTTTTCACTTTCATCAATTAACTCGATCAATTATAACGCGCCCTCGTTATATTTCCTTTCAATCATTTTCCCTCCCCTTTTATCGATACCTAGCCTATTTTCCGGTGTGATATTTTTTCCATTTTTTTTCCTCGCACTTCTCTCGAAAAAATCGTGATCGGATCTCGCCGCCGAACGATGAAATCGCCGCAATTCTTCTCACCAATGTAAATTGTCACGCAGCTCGGCGCACCACCCTCTCACGCACCCACACGCACACACGTACTCGTACTCACATGTCTCATACTCTGTGCTTATATATGTATATATATATATATATATGTATATATATACATATATATATATATATATGTAGTTGTCGATCATTACATATACAGTTGTGTACGTATGCGATAATGCGGCTTGGTAAAAAAAAAAAAAAAAAGAAAAAAAAAACGGATCTATTATATAATCGTATGTAGAGCTTATTATATCACGTGTGCTCGTGATCTCTGAAGCTTATCGCCGGTTGGAAATTTCTTTGTCGTTATTATATAGTTTATTATTAAAGTATTTGTTATAAAGTGAAAAATCGTTTGAACTTAATTACAAATATTTGTACGATATATATATATATATATAGATTTGTAGCAGCAGGTAATAATACGTGATTGGTCTGCAAAAATTTATAAAAAGTGATTATTTTTATATATTGTTATTCGTATAAGAGAAAGAGTAGAAGATTATTTCATTTTGGATTCATATATATATACTTCTACTTCGTATCATGTGTTTCGTGTACGTATTTTTTAAACTTTTTTATAAATATTCGCAGATTATCACTGAAAGATGATCTCAAAAGCAAAACTTGATACGTCTTCCTTGATTCTCACAGAAAAATAAATTTTAAATTAATAACTCGTCAAGTTATTATTGATTATTTATATATATATATAT